TCTTGGCTCAGAAAGCACTCGCCACCCTGCATGCTGATGCTTTGCGCCAATGAGGGCCAGCACTCTGCTTCAGCCATGCAGTGAGGGCAGAAGTAAACGGCTGCCACAGTGCTCTGTTTGCAGGCAATCAACATTCCAGGTCACCTGCACATCAGCATGCTGTGCTAGCTCATCTCTGAGCTGAGTTGTCCTTTCCATGCCTCAATGCCTGCACCACCAGCCCAGCCCTCACCTCTTCTGCATTCCCCATCTCCCTCAGATCCATCAAGTAAAGCCCGTGCCCTCGGTGCCATGCCACCAGGAATGACCCGGTCTCCACATTTTTGGCTGTGCCAGATCGCTCCTGAAGCTGTTCTCTGGCAATCAGATTCCCCAGCACCTGTGATGTGCTGGCAGGCAAAGAACAACAGAGAACAGTTTCGCTGTCAGGAATCTCCTAGAAGGGAAAACTGTGATGGATAGACATGACTCCAATGCAGTAGGGCTGTGGGGGAGTGGAAGCAATATTTTCCTTTTCAGTTGTATCAATGTGTAGAAATGCCCTATACTCGAGGTTATCTAATAACATTTTTTTTAATTGTTTTTCCATCTTAGCTTTTGGATGCATATCTGCATTTACTTGTTTCCACAAACCATAAGCAGAAAAAGGAACATACTTAGATACCAACTTTTTTCTCTAAATCTGCATGCAACAAATAACCAATGAAATGAGCCCTTATATTCTTGGAGCTATCTGGGGTTTATTTTGCGAGCATTTGCAGAAATGTTCAGTGGCCCAGAAGTTATTTTATCCCCCACCTCTTCCCTCCTCTTAGCCATGCAAATCCACTGCATGACAGTTAAACCCATCCAAAGGGTGTTTTTCCTGAGCACCTTCTGCAAAATTTCTGTAGCCTGTGCTCCTGTAATAAACAACAGCTCCTTGCATTGCCAAAAACATGTGTATGACATTGGAGAAGACCTGTGTGGCTATAGTCCTGTGCATGTCCAACTGGGCCCCACCATGGCTCTGAATTCTAGCACTGACCTGTGCTAGTGCTGCCACAAACCCATGGCTTCTGCCTTCAGAAAGCATGATATTCAGATTTCAAATTCAAAACACACAGATACTGTCATCAGCTCATAACTGGTCATTAGGTAGGGCCATGAAGACATGTTTGAAACAGCTAGGATAGCTGCTCAGAGCAGCTATACCATTACCAGCAGGGTTTGGGCACACAAATGTGTGTCCCAGTTGCACTCAATGGATCATTCTGGCATCTGAAATGCACTGGGTCCCTCTAAAATCAGTGTGGGATCTTGGGGGCAGGACGTGGTGGATGTGGCACTGAGGGACATGGTTTAATGGGCATGGTGGCAATGGGTTGATGGTTGGACTGGATTATCTTGGTGGCCTTCTCCAATCTTAATGATTCTGTGAGTCTATGATCAGGTGGCATCAAAAGAAGACATTGAATCTCACCCAGCATGGATCCCAGAGAGGGTGGTGATGTCCTGTGGTCTGATATCCCTGAAGAGCTGTTGTGTTTCCAGAATCTTAAGTGATGCTTGGCCATGTCTGCCCCAGCACCCACCTTACTCAGCAGGACCAGGGCCAAGCATGGCTCCTCTCATCTTCCACAGCAAGCCTTAATTGCTGGGTGGTGACCTCTGTTAGCTCACTCAGCTAAACCATTTACCATGCAGTCTTCTTGTTTGAGATCAAAACACCACTCAGCAGCAAGGAATTGTTGTGGCATTTGCTTCTATGCTTATTAAAAAACACTTTAGTAGAATATTAACACTCAGACCTTTGGGGTTGCTGTCACAGGATGGGGCAGGGAGCGAAGACCCCTCAGCCCTCAAGCGAGAGCAACGCTGCACTTTATTAATAAAAATATGAAGTACAGCATAATTTGCCCGCCTACCCTGCCAGAGATTGAACAACACAACACTTCAGTCAGCACAAAAGACAGACGTGATATTTTCTAAATTGATAGAATATCTATTGAAAACCTATTTAGACACTTTAATGGGATAACAGGAGCATGGTGCCAATCTGTGGAGGAGGAGAGCTCATCAGAAATTTTAATACTTTCAATATGCACAAGAAAATATAATTTGTAGAGATTTTTTCCTGGTTTCATCCATCTGCCTCACTGAGCTCTTCCTTTTTGTCTCTTATTTATGGCTCTAATTTTGATGCCAGAGTTAATTTACACGATCTGCTGTATATTTCTGTTATTTGCTTTGAAATTGCCCTTTTCGGCTCCTATCTGAAGTCGTTTATTTGCCCACAAAATAAGTAGGCCCTGAACTATTTCTTGGCAACCACGGGTGCCTAGGAGTTCCTTTATGTGATGGTGTATATGCATTCCTTATTATTGTACTTGAATGTTTATTAACAATTCATGGAGTCTTAAATGGCTGAAAAAACATTCTCAAGCTAAATATTTCCAGAGGGTCTCTCAGCCCAGAGACCTTCTCTGCAACTGTAGGTTTCACAGCACAGCAGAGCGTGGCTCGAAGTTGGTATTTCTGGGGTAATTAGCAATTACATTTAATACAAGTACAAAAGGAAAGGACACGGCTGCTCAGGGGCTAAAAATAATTTTGCACAGTATATACTCTAATTTTACCAGCCTTCATAT